CGAAAAAANAAAAAAAATAATAGGATAAATTAAATATAAAAAAATTATCTCCCATATATTTATATTATAAAATTTATATAAAAAATCAATATTTAATATTCATTTATATAATAAAGTAATAATCTATTCACTCTAAAATATAACGAAAAACGTTAATACCAAGCCTCCAGTAGTACCGAATGTAGCTGATGTGAAAAAGTAGAACCTAAAAAGAAAGAACAGTAAAATAAAAATATGTGAAAATTAAATTAAATAAATTAAAAAAAAGAAAAATTAAATGAAAAGGAAGAGTAAAAAACTAAAAGTTAGTCTAATAAGTTAAAGTAGTAAATAAAGATGAAGGTGATGAAGAATTATTAAAAGAGCTTGAAAATAAAAAAAACAAAGGTGTAGATATTTCCCAAATTGTAAAAATGAAAAAACATGCCCTTATATACATCCTACAATAGAAGTAATATATATATGTATATATATTTCTAATTAAATAAAAGTGTACTTATTTTCCTAAATGTACTTACGGAAGTGCTTGTATAAATTTACATCCTTAATGTAAGTTTGGAAAAGCTTGTACAAGACCAGATTGCTTTTATGATCATCCTCCAGGTTCAAGTAAAATAAACTTTTAAATTATTGTTTTTTTTTACTTATTCTATTTTTTATAGAAACCAAAGGTATGAATCCTGTTTTCGGATTACTACCATATATGATGTAAATGATGAGTGGAGCTAATAAGTAAAGACCAGGAATTATCCCTAAAATAAAACCCCCATAAAAACCAAAATAAAATAATTAAACTGATGATTAATAAAAAATAGTTGAAGAAACCAAATGAATGATAAAAATAGATTTATATATTAAAATAAATTATTTGTTTTTTTTTTTTTTAATAACATTAAAATATAAAAAATAAAATAATATATATAATAAAAATATAATCACATTTTTACTAACTTTTTATGTATTTTATTGACTATAAGTTATGTATAAATGTTAAATCAATAATTATTTTATAAATGTATAATAAATAAATTAATTTTTATATTATTAAGCAATAATATATTAATAAATAAAAAGATTTTTATTTATTTTTAATTAATTAAAATTAAATTAATAAAAAAGGAAAAATACTAATATCATATTATTTTTAAATATAAACAAAAAATATTAATAAGAAAAACACATATTTAATATAATATGATAATAATTTTAATTTTTCGGTAATGGCGATATAAGTGATGTATCTCTTTCACATGAAGACTATTATTAAGTACTAGATGTATTATTAGATGATAGATTATCTCCAACCGGATTAATGAGATTTAAAAATTTGCATTCAGTAAATATGTATGGAGTAGCATTCATTCCAATATATTGTTTCCCTGTGGCATATGGAATATCACATTTTTTAACAGGAAGAGCAAGAAGATAACATAGTGGATATAGAAATTTTTGGACTTTAATGTCAATTGTATGGCCTTTAACTTGTTGGTATGGATATACAAATCCTATTCCACGAAGACTTTATACTGATATTTTATGTGCAAATGATTCTGATGGTGCCTATGTCAGAAACAGAATCAGATAGATGAAACCTGGTCTTTGGAGAAAGCTTTCTCATTAACTTTATTAAAAGAATTATAGATTCCCAGAATTAAATGAAAGTTTAATGAATACTGAATTTCCTTTAGATTTTGTTAATCCATATAAATGAAAAATAATTATTTTGAGTTATATTATTTTATTATTTTGGAAAAAAAAAATAAAAAAAAATAACATTTTTTTTTCTTTTTTTGAAGTATATTTTTTTTTTTTTCATACTTAAATAATTTAAAATATATTTTTATAGCCTTAAAAAAATATTTCATCTTCTATAATATTTTATTAACTTTTAACAAAAAAATATTCATAAATAATTTATATTGGTTAACTCTTAAATAATTTTTATTTTTATAAACAATTTAAATAATCAAATTCTAAAGATTATTTTATTTATTTTTAAACAGATTGAAATTTTAATTAATTAAAATAAAAAATATAATATATTTAATAGTATTGTTTTATCAAAAACTAAAATTTAGTTCAATAAATAAAAAACAAAAATTAAAAATAAGAATATTAATATTAATATAAATTATTTATATAAAACTATAATAAATGGAATTAATAAAATTTTAAATTAAATGTTTTTTCTGTTTTTTATTTTTCAAATATATAATTCAATATAATATCATACTTCTTTTATTTAATTAATATATTCATTTTATTTTATTAAAGAAATAATTTCATCAAATTTTATACATTTTTTTTAAACAATAACATCTACTTTATAAAGTTCTTTACTAAAAATGGAATTAATTTCATATAAAATTTAATCAAATTCTTCTAAATGTTTTTCATTTTTACATTTATAAATATGTATTTTAGAATAATTTTAGTTATGTATATATTCATCTACTTTAGATTCAAAACATAAAAAACATAGTAGTGCAGCAGCTTCTTTATTTTAATTTTTTTCTTATAAATCTAATCGACTTTCATGTTCGTATATTCCAGGAATTTAATCAGCAGATAAATATTAGCCATCAACATTGAGAGAATGCTTATTTTTTGATGTATTTAATTTATTCCCCAAATATGTATATCCTTAATTATATAGTTTACAATAAGGAATATTGTATCTTTTAATAAAATTCCAAACTTATTCATATTTCCAATAAATAATTGGATTTATTCGTAAAAATGGAGGGTATCCTTTTAAGATAATAATCATAATTAAAAAAAAAAATTACCTTTATCTGTATCAGAAGGAGAAACTTTTTCTAAATGTTCTTTTTTATTTTTAAATAAATATATATTTATAATTATAAATTATTTACCACAATAAGGATCATTTTAACGTGAACCCATAATTACTGCTTTTAATGAATAATCATTAATTAAAATTCATAATTGCTTTTTAAAATCTCTTTCCATTTTAATAATTTCTATATTGAACATATTTTTAATTTAATCAATGAATTAATCTACTTCTTCAAAAGATTAAGGTTCATCAAAATAAACAATTCTAATTTTTTAGAAATCATTTTATTGATTATCATTTAATCTTTTAATTAATTTATAATAACAAAATTAAATATTTAATTATTTGTCTTTTACTTTATTTAAGCTAAATATGTCAAAAACAATGCCACAGTTGCATCTTTTCCACCATTGAAACTTATAAATAACTCTTTTTTATTCCTAAATATTTTTATTTTTATTTTTTTAAAAATTACTTTTAGTAAATTATAAATTATTTAATATTATTTATACTAATATAATTGTAAGATATTTTCTAAAAATATTATGGATTAAAGTATATATTTTTAGCTTTAATCTTCTTTTATCTATTTAAGTATTGTTTATGAACAAATCATTTTTTAAAATATTTGTTTATAGTAATTTTTAAAAAAATATTTAATTAATTTTATATATATATAAATTTAATTTTATTATTTCTGAAAAGATTTTAAGTTTAGAATATAATATTAATTTATTCAGTATTTTAAATAAAATATTTATTTAAGTTTATATAATTATTTTATAAATTATTAAAATTCAATTTTATACAAAAATAAAATAAAAATTTATAATAAAAAATAAATTTACCTTAAATTATATATAAATAATTAGTTTTTATATAATTTTTATAACAATTAATCAATTTTTAACTTTATTTATTATTTTATTTTTATAATGATCAAGTCTAACGGAATCACAATATAAACAAGTATATTTTTAAAAAAATAAATAAAGTAATTGTCATAATAGATATAACATAGCTATAGCCTCTTTTTGATGTTAGTAAATAAAATCCATGGTGGTAATATAAGAAATATACAGAAGAAGAAAAATCAAAATTAAATGATTTTTTAGATAAAAATCAAAAACAAATTAGTGAAATATTAACATCAAACATTTTATAAAATATGAGCTATTTAGCAAATTTAATAGGTTAGTTCCAAATTTTTATAGTATATTATAGTAAAAAAATTAATAAAGGAGTATTTTTACCACCTATACTTGATGAATATAATGAATAATCAAATTCATTATAACCAATTTAAATAAACAAAAACTTATATGATTTGTAAATTCAAAATCAAGAGTAGTAAATAAAAGAATAAGATAATTATGACCAGTTAAATTTTTGTATTTTTAATAATTGTATTTTAGATTATTGTACTATGAAATTATTAAAGTTAGCTTTAAGTAAAACTCAAGTTCAAGTATTAAGGTATTATATATATTTAATTTTATATTTAAAACTTAAAATTAATAGATTTAATAATAACAATTTTGATGAAGATATATTATAGGTTTTGGAATAAATAATACTAGGTTAAATAAATATTATTAAAAAAAATTAATATAAAAAATAAAGAGAATAATATAGTTAAATTATTTTTTGATTGGAATGAATTGAATAATATTCCTTATAAATAAACATTTATTTTGAATTTATTTAAAAATTATCCTAATTTGGAATTTATTACTTTAAGAAATAATTATATTGATGATAATTTATTAAATTAAATATGCTAAACAATAATAGAAAATAAATAATAATGCAATATAAAATATTTAGATTTATTTTAAAATAAATTTTCAAATTCATATGCTATATCAAATTTGTTAAATAATTATAGAAAATTTGTTTATTTAGGCCTTGCAGGAAACAATTTATAAGATATAAAATGTATTTTAAATTAGATTGGAAAAATTCGTTTAACAGCAGAATAGTTTTAAGAATATAAAAAAAAAGAAACTGAAAAAGATCAAATAATTGCAAGAAATTAAAAAGTAATTTTATAGTTATAAAATAATTTAAAAAATAAAAATATTTATTTTAAATTAAAATCTTATTTATATAAGAACAAAGGAAAAAAGCCTGATGAAGAAGTTCCATTTTTAGAATAAATAAAAGAAATAGAGCCAGATAAATTTGCTATATGTTTAAATGAATAATTATAACTATTAAACCTTTGCCAAAATAAATTAAATGATTAAGTACATAAATCCATTATTGAAGAATTTTTATAAAACTCATTTGAATCTTTTTAATTAGGATTAACAAATAATAATTTTTTTAAGAATACAATTGAATAATTCAAAAAGAAATATGGCAAGAAAGTTATAATAGACTGACATAAATAAAAAAAATTATAGGATTTATTATTAAATATTAAAAAAAAATATAACTAGCAATTATTATTATTATTTTTAAAATATTTGAATTTTTGTTTGTACTATTTACAAATATTAAGCTAATATGTATAAAATATCCTTATTTTTTGTTTTAATAATATTATTTTTATAAAATTATATTTTTCTTTCATTATTTTTCAAACATTTGCAATTTTTAATAGATTTTTTTTTTTTTTTTTAATTAACCCAGTAAAACAAAACTATATATTTTTTTTTTATTTTATATATTATTTTAACTTGAGTATAAAAACTAATGTAAAATAAAATGTATATCAATATTTTTAATTTTAGTGAAAATAAATAATATTAAAATAATTAATTATAAATATAATAGAAGAAAAAAAAATATTTTAATAAATTTTTAATTTATAGAAATTATTATAATATATTTAAATAATTTTATATATTTATTATTATATATAAATTGTTGTGTTAATATTTTTATAATGAAATAAATTTTAAAAAAAATTTAATATTTAACTAAATATTATATTTAATATAAAAAACAAAGAATTTATTTAATATTTATAAAGGAACAGCTATTGTAATGTATAAATCTTAAATTGATAATTTATTTTTATATTTTTAATATCTATCACATGAAGTTTTCTATTATTTTTTTTATAATTTTTTAATTTTAAAAAAATAATAGAATAAAATAATTTAAAATAAAATAAATTAAAAAATAAGCAAAAATAAATTAATAATTAAATAAATAAATTAAAAAAATAATATAATAAATCTTCTATTAAAAAATTGATAAAATGAATACTGCCAATATTAAATTTGTTGAAACTTCTAAGCTATAAAATTTTATATGTCCAATTTGTATAAACGTATTTAATTAGCCAACAACAATATAGTGTGGGTAATATCTAATATAATTAACCTTAAAAATAACTTATATATATCTTTAAAAATAGGCATACAATTTGTTTAAAATGCATAAAAAATTATTTTAAATAATGTTAAGATAAATAATGTCCACTTTGCCGTACAAAAATAAATTTCTCCTAAGAAATATAAAATATTAATTTTGTTATTTAACAATGCATAGAAGATTTAAAAGTAAAATGTTTGAGTGAAAAATGCTAATGGATAGGCAAATTTAAGTAAATTTAATAGCATTTAACTTCCTGTAATTATATATAATAAAACACTATTATAATAAGTGAAGCAAATAAAGATTCATGTAATGAATTTTTAGTAGAAATATAAAATCCCGATAACTAATCCTAGCAATCATAAATTATACCGAACTAATAAAATAATATTTAAATATACGGTTATTTTGTGGTAATTTAAAATTTATCTTTTAATAATATATTTAAAATTATATAAAATAGATTAATTATCCTTTTTTACAAATGTCTCTTGATTAATTTCTTTACAATTTATAAATGAATCAATATGTATATTAATAAAATAGTTGTTATAATTAGAATAATATGATTACTTAACCAATGATTGGATTTAATTAATTTACATAATGATTTTCTAAGAAATTTAATTAAAATAAATTTTTTTATTTAATTATTATTAAAATAAACTAAAAAATATGTATAATATTTTAAATTATTTGATAAGCATATTCATTAATTATTATTTTTATTTTAGTATTTCTATTTTTTTTAAAAAAAATTATCTAAAATAATATGAATAGTTAATACAGAAAATTGATAAAGTTTCAAACATTGATTATAATTATTAAATTATATTTTCTTTTTTTATAATAATTAAAAAAAATATTTTATTATATATAAACTTATATATTTAAATTAATAAAATTAAATTAAAAAATAAAGGAAAAAATTCTTTATTCAAACTTAAATATTCATTATAAATATATTTATATATATATATATATATATTAATTAAAATTATATAGTTATACTTTTTTTATATATAGAAATAAAAATACGTATAAAAAAAAGTGTCTAAAATGATATTTTTTTTTTCAGATAAAATATCTATTAAAAAAAAAATGAAAAAGCAATAAGATAGACATATTTTAATATTAATAAATATTAATGTTATTTCATTTATATACTAACATTCTTTTGATTATTTAATAAAATAAAAAATATAAAGGAAAATTTTTGTATAAATTAATATATTTAAAAATAATAATTTATTATTCATAAAATTTAAAAAAAAAATAAAGTAGATTTTTATATATTTTTCTAAATTTTTTTAAAATAATATTAATATCAAAAAATAAAAAAAACAAATTAAAATTTTTAATATATAAAAATCTATTAATTATATTGAGAAAAAATAATATATATATATAAATATATATATATATATAAATAAATATATAAAAATATATATAAATTAATACATATATATATTTATATATAATTAAAATATAATATATATATAATTTAATTTAAAATAAATAAGAATAGATTTAAAGCATTTTTTTAATTATATAATTATTTTCAATTATTTTTTTATTAATTAATAATTTTATTAATTATATTTACATTTACACTTTATTTTTATGCTCTGTTTCTTTTCTTAAGAAAATAAATCCCTGTTTCGATTTCTTTTTGGTAAATATTTAAGTCGAAATCAATTTATTTTATATTAATTTGTTAATAACTCAAATTTTCCAAAAATCCTATCGCTAATTTAATTTAAGCAAAGCAATAACCAAATTAAGTTTTCATTTTATCTTTATTACAAAAGACATTTATGAAATGTATATTGGAATAAAGTCGGGTTGGACAAGCTTTTATAAGTACATATATAGATATTGGAAGTAAATTATCTGCTGTAATAGAATTTTTTGTATTAATTTATGTTAGTTTTAAAGCATTAATCATTATTTAAGTACTTTCTATTA